TTCACAATCATGCAAGTTTTTGCTATCGTCTTAAGTAAAATCAGTAAATCATGAAGCAAAGCCGGGACTGGACACAAATTACAGATTTAATTAATTATTAAATTACAATTTATCACTACAATCACCTACCCAAACATAATTTGATGTCAGGCAGATTAGGCTTTGCCTTGATCGATAGAATAACATCTGCTAGAAACCACATTGCCGACGTTTTTTTAAGCATACATTCTAGGAGAGTTTTCGTAATATGATTGGTGCAAATCAGGGGCCAGCAAAAACAGGTCTTTTCGAGTTTACTGGTGTATCCGATCCGAACGATCCTAAAGATACTCAAATCTCTTCTATTATTACACCGAAAAAATCCCTCCAAGTTCGATGCCATAGTTCTAAATCTATCGGTAGTTTAGATATGCAAAAACAATATCGGCTAATGGTAAGTATTTTAATTTTCTTTTGTTGGGCACATAAGTTGCAATAGCAGATTGAAATATCCACAAACCAGTATCGTACTTTTTTCAGTCACTGATTGAAATCTTAAAAAAGTATATACAAAAGAATAAAAATGGAATTAGTAGCCGGATACAATTTCAGCGACTGAAAGGTTAAATAGATAAGTCGACTGTGCGCTTTGTATGCCTACACTTAGTTTACTTTGAATATAACGAGCTCCTGCCAATAATTTCTTTTTAGGCGACAAATACCTACATATGCGATATGTCATGGTCATCAAATGAATCAATTTATAAAGGAAAATCAGCGAATTGTATTCTTAAGTGCTTTAAAGAATTTCCTGTAAAAGTTTTATGTAGGAATTCTCATTAAGTGCATCGTAATTACTGCCGATAAAATGGATAATGGGCGATCAGTGATTAGGTGATGACGACACACAACTCTTGAATTTGCATTGCCATACCATCTGGTTTAATATTGAGGTGGAATTAGTTTATTTCTTCATTTTACGACTACTTCGAAGTAATGACTCTTATGCGAATGAATGCTTTATTGATTTGTTCTGGGAATGGCAACATGTTTTCCTAAACCGTTTACACGGATTTGCATATTTGGATAATCTTAGTTATACGCGACATTTGCTCTTAATTTATTAAGCACTTATAATATGAGCGGTTTATGAAACGTTTGATGTTATTCAGTCAGAGACGCAACGTTGTTAAAGTTACAAATATCGGTTATTTTTCAAATTACGAGCTCGAAAATGTACATGCAAGTCCTTTAATATCTCACGTAACGTCTAAAATAACAGTGTTCCAGACGTGTAACCTTGTAACTGTAACACTTTGCCACTTTAACCAGTTTCAGTAACCATTTGTCAACGGAAAATATGTTTAGTTGATGATTGGAAGTTTTTAAGTTGACACCCGATATGCTGGTGTGGCTGTACTTATAAGTCTTCTGCTTTCGCTTAAGGTGGATCTTAAATATCTGACATGTTTGACACGCATATTCACACATTGAAGAATTAATATTGAAGACGCGTTACGTCATAATTGCTGCTTTTTGCAATTTGTCATTATAATATATGTAAATGCTTTCTATTGTCACACCTGAAAGGTCTCTTCAATCGTTTGACCCCAAATAAAAAAAGAATTAAGAGTCACGAGGAAAAATGAATCTTCATTACCATTATTCATCAGTCTAATGACTGCGAAAGTCCACCAAGCAATAACATATTCATAACTATAGTCCATCGGCCTTTCATTTTTGATTATTGACCATTCTGATGTTATTTATAATAATATACTTGATTATCAAGAAACACTAATAATAACCCAGCAGATTACCGTAGAAACACTTAAAAGAAGGCAAACCGGATGGACTCGTCTTGCAATTCTAATAGGCAATAAAACGAAAGTGAGAGAGAAAGTGCAACCTATTTTTCACAAATAAAATATCAAAGCGAGATTTTAAATTACATCGTCTTGACTTGATCAATAAATTTTGTATAAGATACTGTAAAAAATATTTTGATGGGGTAAATTTAGAGCAAAACTTACATAAAATGGTCGAAGGAAAGTAAACATTATACAGAGAAAGTGCGTGTCTTGTGGTATGGGAATGAAGACATGCATAATTTTCTCAGCGCTTCAGATTAGCTTGTTGAAAACATGATTGATAGTCTGTACCTCTATTATTTTTAGAGCAGTCAGCTTATAGAAGTGAATCCCAGTGATCAACATTTATTCTAAGTTAACGAAAAGGAACTGTAAATAAATGTGGCAACTAAAGTGATTAGTGGATATGTAGATGTACATCACCTAAATTTACACAGCAATGT